TTGGCAAAACACGTTTGCAGATTTCTGCTGGAGCTGTGTGTTTACTGCTGTTTTGTTTTTTGGTTTGTTGATCTCGATCACATTTGAATGGCTAAAAATGAAGTAGCTTGGATTGTGTTAAGGACTTTTTTTTCCAGGCTTCCGTTTTTTCCCACCTTCTGGCCTAGTTCTGAGGGATTCATATGCTAATTAGAAGAAGTGAAAGGAGGTCATTGGCTTAAGAGACACGAGACACGTATAATCAGACACACATGCAAACCCAACCAGAGTGTAAAGACAAAGCTCACCATGGAAACTCAAATGTTTGCCGTCTTAAAGACCAATGAAAAGAAGTGAGACTGAGCAGTTGAGCACCTCAGTGCAGTCTGCTGGGAATTAATGAATGCATCTTTGTTCAGTCACTGTCCAGCTTTAGAGTGACAAAGTGCTGTGTGCAGCCTCCACCTATGCCATTGCCCTGAAAACACCCTGGTATGTTGGCATTCTCCTCATACCACAGACAGTCCATGAACCTCTCAGGACGAAATAAAACACACTCCAGTGCTAACCATACAGCCCATCTGAGCCCCATCTGTAAACAACAGTGTAAAGAAATATGACCCCGTTTACGGCCCCGGAATAAAGAGAGTGTGACCTTCAGGAGGTCGGCTGACCCACCCACACTGAAGGAGAGAGGGACGGGGGAGAGACAAAGGGATGGAGAGATAAAAAATGAAAGGGGCAAAAAAGAATGCAATGGGCTGGTCTGCTGGCAGGGGCCTGTGGTCGGTGAGTGAATCAAAAAAGAACTATTTACAAGCTCTTGTACAATGTCTGCGTCATGTAGAGGAAAAACACTTGGTTAACAGCCTATCTGAGTCACACCAACAGGGTGGCAAGACACGGTTAAACATTTCACAATGAAGTACTACAGTGAATAACTAATAATACTGGTGACAAAGAACACAGTTATGCTCATGATTGTCCATCAGGCCGGAAAACACGGTTTGAGCTTGGCTTGCATGTTAATAACTTAATCAGGTATCACAGAATAAGTAGAGCCAAAAGGGTTCAATAACAGAGGCTGGAAGAGTATGGAAAATACCAAAACCAAAGAAAAACTTCCTAAGTGGGTGGCTGTGTGAATTTGGGAACAGTTCTATTTGTCTTATCAGATCCGGTCATGCACTTCTCTCACCACTACTTTTCCCAGGCTCTAAGGAAAACCATGGCAAACCGCTAAAGACTACTTGCTACAAGTCAGATAGAGAAAGAGAGCAACGGTGAGAGTGTTTGTGTGTGTGAGAGAGAGAGAGTTGAATGAATGTTCACAGGTCACCAGCAGGTCTTCCAGAGAGTGTGTCAGCATGTGCTCTTATTTTTCCATCTGTAAATCACCCCATGTCCACAACTCACTACCTCTTAGAAATGAAAACTAAAACATGTCTACGTGACGTTGATTAAATGGCGCCTGTGCACAAGTTTCCAAATTCAGGCTAGATTTAGGGATTAAACTGAGATTTAATTTCTCCAGAATATTGAAATGAAAATAATTACATTTATTTTCTTTTTAAATTGTTACTGGAGAGTTATTTCCTAGCTGATATAATTATCTGGTGCCACCTTGTTGCAGTGAAGTGATCAACAGTGTTTTATTGTTTTCCTTTTCACCTCAGGACCACTGTACTGGCTAGAACAGGCAACAATAGCTATTCCTGCTCCGGCTAAAGCTTTGCATCACTCACAAGGTTAATTCCCTGTTGACACGGGACTCATGTTCCTGTAGAGCAGCACCTGCGTGTCTGTGGAGACTTCGGTGGAAAGCTCAAAGTCCTCTGACTCTCATGACTCTGGCCGCCGTGCTGGCATTTTAATGGGCTTTGGTGGCTGGCAGGAGCAGAATTAGAATGAAATTGTG